GTGTGTGTGTTGTGTGTGTGTGTGTGTGTGTTGTGTGTGTGTGTGTGTTGTGTGTGTGTGTGTGTGTGTGTGTTGTGTGTGTGTGTGTGTGTTGTGTGTGTGTGTGTGTGTGTGTTGTGTGTGTGTGTGTTGTGTGTGTGTGTGTGTGTGTGTTGTGTGTGTGTGTGTGTTGTGTGTGTGTGTGTGTGGGTGAAAATACCCATAAACAACACAAACACAGACACACACACTCAAATCTGCATGTAAACTACACAAGTACATTTTCACACAAACGCACACACACACACAAACAGACCCTCACATTCACACGCACAAAGTTTCGAGCCAAAACACTCATTTAGATTTCATTAACCCCCCAAAACACGACAGCTTATGAATGAGACTACCTTTTAAAAATCCCATACTATTAAAAACAAAGTTCTGAAGACTCCTTTGGGAATGAGAGAATGTCTGGCACAAGATATACCTGTAATGGCCACCATAACCTTGAACAAGACACTTTATTCATGAGACTGAAAAAAGGGCATGGCAACGCTGGCGAAGGGACGTGGGTTGGGGGTTAAGATATAGTGGGGGGAAGGGGTTGTAAGGGGAGATGTAGGGGTCATAGCGGTTGATAGGGGGTTATAGACGTTGTAAGAGTTATAAGGGGTAATGGAAGTTATAGGGAGTTACATGGGGGTATATGGCTTGCAGGTATATAAGTTGTAGGAGCTATAGGGGGTAATATGGGCCGTAGTTATTACAGTGAGGTTATAGGCTGGTTGCAGGGACTATTAAGGTTATAGCGGAGGTATAGGATGTAGAGGCTGCAAGAGACAGTAGGGGCCACAGGTGACATACAGGGTTGTAGAAAAGGTCATAGAGAGCCATAGAGGGATGCAGGAAAGGACATTGGGAAAAAGTAGGGATAGAATGGTGGTGGTGGGGGGGGGGGAGGCAAAGCATGGGGGATGATCAGAAATGTTTCCGTATGGACGGCTGGAGATAATTGTGTACCCACTTTGATACGAAGGGGAGACGAGAGAGAGGGGAAAGGAAGAAAGAGTGAGCGAGAGGGGAAGGGAAGATAGCGAGAGCGAGAGGAGAAGGGGAGAGAGCGAGGGGAGTGTGAAGGGAGAAAGCGAAGTGAGTGAAGGAAGAGAGTGGAAGGAAGAGAGCGAGAGAAGGAGGGAGTGAAGAGAGGGAGGGAGGGAGGAGTGAGAAGAGAAAGGGAGGGGAGTAAAGGAAGAGAGGGGAAGGGGAGAGTGAAGGGAGAGAGGGAAGAAGGAGAACGAGAGAGGGTAGGGAGAGAAGAAGGAGAGACTGGACGGTGAGGGGAATGGGTCTGAGGGAGGGAAGGGGGGGAGGGAGGGACAAGAAGCTCGCATTTCCACTTAGAATCCAGGAAGAAGATGGCGAGGGGACAGCCCTTTGTAGGAATCTTGGGAAGCAGGGAGAGAGAGAGAGAAGGAGGGAGGAAGGGGGGGGGGGTGAAGGAAGGTCTCTTTGTTGGATTTATGAGGGAGGGAAGGGGTGAGATGGGGGAGGAGGGGGAGGGAGAATAGAGGAGGGAAGGGAAAAGAGGAAGGAGGAAGAGGAGGATGGCATAAGAGGGCGGGGAAGTGAAAAGAGAGGAAGAAGAGGAAGGGGGGAGAGAGGAACAGAACAGAAAAAGAGTAACAGGAGAGGGGGTAAGGGAAGGGAGGATGACTGGAAAGGGAGATGGAAGGGAGAAGAGGAGGGGGAAGGGGGGGGAGGGGCAGGTGGAACACAACACCAGGAGTGACGAACGAGAGGGTGTAATGACGCCTGTTTCACGCTTCGGGTTCCTACAACTTTTAATTTCCGCCTCTCGTTTTCTTTGTCTCTTCTCCCCTTGCGCCTTTTGTTCTGCGTGGCTCGAAGAGGGGATACGGACGGGGAAGGAAGAGAGATTAGGAGAAAAGGAAAGGAAAGATAGACCCTTTCTCAATCTCTTTCCCTTTCTCTCTTTCTCTCTCTCTCTCTCTCTTTCTCTCTCTCTCTCTCTCTCTCTCTTCTCCTAGAGCCAAGTTTCACAGACGTGAGGACACGCCCTGGCTCTGTACCAACTCGTGGTTCCCTAGGGTCATTGTGTGGGTCAGGGGAGGCATTCCTGTCAAGCTGCTTCCCCGAGAGACCTACTGGCAGTATATTAGATAAATGGAGATGCCGGAGTGTGTGTGTGGGGGGGGGGGGGAGGTTTACATTCAGATGGACTATCCGGCGGGACACGGACCATTCGCTCCTTGATGATCGATCGCTACTACTACAGAGGTGGAGGAAGCCGCCCTTTGGGGTTTAACCAATAACTGCACTGAAATACCAGCACATACCCGTTACTTGCTGAGTTGTTGAAGCCCCCTTTATAGGCGATACGAACACCTGACTCGATGATTCCGCCCGCCAGGTTGTCTCATCTGCTGACGACCCAGGGTGGAGGTGGCACGTGAGATGGCCAAGAAAGTCGGGAAATCGAATAGATCTATCGTAAGGAAGTAAAGATGGGCCTACATAGCGGCTGTCCGAAAGGGACCCTCGTGGTTAGAACGGAAGGTGGCTGCGACAACACGCCCTCTTCTACGCTGGTCCCTTTGGTTGATTTATTGATTGGTTGATTGACTGACTGATTATCCTATTATCCTGTCTTCCTCCTTTCCTTCTCCTTTCTTCTCCCAACCCTTTTCGACATTCTTTGTTTTCCCTGTTCCACTTTTCATTCGTGTAAGGCCGTGCATCTTCTCAACTCACAAACACACACAAAGACAAAACCACATAGCAAAAGACCTGTCCTTTTTTCAACGAACAAACAATAAAACAAACGAACAGACACTGAATCTTCAAGAAGCAACTTTGGAAGAGTTCAGGGTTGCAGTTGTTGCTGAAAGAAATGGTGTCTGTGTGATGCAAACACACACACACACACACACACACACACACACACACACACACATATATATATATATATATATATATATATATATATATATATATATATATATATATATATATATATATATATACAGAGAGAGAGAGAGAGAGAGAGAGAGAGAGAGAGAGAGAGAGAGAGAGAGAGAGAGAGAGGGAGAGAGAGAGAGACAGATACATATATAGATATAAACACTTCCGAGGTTTGTAAATTAGCAAAGAAAATAATATATCTTCCCTCTCATAACTTTCAGTGTCGCCACTACCTCGTCATAAAAGCATTAATACAATACTTCATGACGAGAGACAATTGCTTTTACTTCCCACGGGAATCCTGACTTCATAAAGGCTTTTTTATACTTGACATCCTCGAGTATAGACATACATTATTCCTACATACATACATACATACATACATACATACACACACACACACACACACACACACACACACACACACACACACACACATATATATATATATATATATATATATATATATATATATATATATATATATATATATATATATATATATATATATGTATATATATATACATATATATATATATATATATATATATATATATATATATATATATATATATATATATATATATATATATATAAATATGTATATATATATGTATATATATATATATATATATATATATATATATATATATATATATATATACATATATATATATATATATATATATATATATATATATATATATATATATACCTACACACACACACACACACACACACACACACACACACACACACACACACAGACACACACACACACATACACACACAGTTGACCTCCATAAAAGAGAGTTGCGAGCGAGCGACAGACAAACAGCCTACAGCATGCTGACCGGACCAAACTTCTGCCAGACTCAACTTGTCTGCACTACCGTTCATCGGCCTCGTTACACACACACACAAACACACACACACAAACACACACACACACACACAAACACACACACACACACACACACACATATATATATATATATATATATATATATATATATATATAGAGAGAGAGAGAGAGAGAGAGAGAGAGAGAGAGAGAGAGAGAGAGAGAGAGAGAAGAGAGAAAGAGAGAGAGAGAGAGAGAGAGAGAGAGAGAGAGAGAGAGAGAGAGAGAGAGAGAGAGAGAGTGATCGCTATCACATTTCTCCTTTACAGAATATCCTTTTCGCAGTGTGAAGACACTAAAGTATCTCCTTTAAGAAAAAATACGCATAATTAAGTCAGTCCGAATGAAGTTGCTCGAAGGCGAATGTCGCTTTCCGTCGCAGCCACACAATTATTTCCGAGAGAGTCTCATCATCATTAATTCCGCTGCAAAATGACCTCTGCGGCAAGCCAACGAGACTTTTCTCAATGTCGCACTTAATGATGGTGATTTCGAAGGAAGGGAATCGTGTGTCTCTTATCTAACAAATGAATAAATCGATGAAATAAGCCATTCTCAGACTTTCGGACAGGTCACCTGCTTAAGTATCACGTGTCCGAATCCTTGTCTCCTGACTTTGTCATTGTCCGAACCCGAAGCTCATTACCTAATTCACGAATAGACATCAATGCATTTTACGAAGAACCAAATAAATTGCCAATATTATGTGCACGCTAGATATTTTATGATGGTTATTGTGCATGCGATGGAACACTTATCATTTCGAAAATGTATTGGTTGCGTGCTTCATTTGTTATCATGAAGAATGCGTTTGGCGCGAAAAAAAAAATCGTAAATATTCGACAATTTTTCACTCCTTGATGGATGACCTAAACCCTTATAATATGTCAAATGTACAGAACAAACAGACTTTAAATATCACACAAGAACTCTCTCTCACAATAGAAAATCCGACTTTGATAAATCTCAGAAAAAAAAGGATGTATGAATAATGATAAAAGAGGATTTTGTATTCCGCTCACAAAAGAAAAAAAAATGAATGCCATTTTTTCTAATTTCCTTTCCTTCTTTTAATAGGAATAAAAATACATTTCCAACAATAATTCAAAACTGCAAATCATACAAAAATACTCACTGCTCTATCTGCCTCTTGGGGTCAAGGCCTCGCTTCCTGATTGTGCCTGGAAATACAAGAAAAAAAAGGATATTTAGAGATTCGTCAACTATGATAATGATACTAATAATAATAATAATAATGATAATGATAATAATAATAATAACAACAGCTATTATAATAATAACAATAACATTAATAATAACAATGATAATAATAATAATAATAGTAATAATAATAATAATAGTAACAGTAATGACATTAATAATAATAATAATAATAATAATAATAATAACATTAATAATAACAATGATAATAATAAAAATAATAGTAATAATAGTAACAGTAATGATAATAATAATTATAATAATAATAATGATAATAATAATAATAATAATAATAATAATGATAATAACATTAATAATAACAAGGGTAATGATAATAATAATAATAATAATAATAATAATAATAATAATAATAATAATAATAATAATAATAATGATAATAATGATAATAACAATAGCAATGACTATAAAAAACATTTCTGTGTTTCATGTTTTATTATTCGATAAGAAAGAAAAAAAACGAAAATAAAATAAAAGAAAGAAAACAGGGAAAGAAGAGAAAAGATAAGAAAAAAGAAAGAGAAAGAAGAGAAATGAAAAGAGAAGAGAGAAAAGAAAGGAAAAGAAAAGTAAAGAAAAGAAAAGAAATGAAAGAAAGAAAAAAAAGAAAAAGACAATCAGAAAGACGAAAGGAAAGAATGGAAAAGTAAAAGGAAAATAGAGAGAAATAAAAGAAACAGGACGAAAAAAAAGACAAAACATCAAAAGAGAAAAAAAACAAGAAAAGCCAAAAAAAAACAAGAATCTTAAAAAACGCAAATTCATATTTCTAAAAATATGTTGATTTTGATTCTCCTCTTCTGCGAAAGGGAGTTAAGGAAGAGGGGAATGAGAAAGGAGGAAGAGGAACAGAGAGGAAGGGAGGGATGAGGGAGGGAGGGAGAGAGAGAGAGAGAGAGAGAGAGAGAGAGAGAGAGAGAGAGAGAGAGAGAGGGGGGTGAGAGCGAGAAAGAGAGGGGGAGAGAGAGAGAGGAAGAACACGAGGGATGGAGAGAGAGAGAGAGAGAGAGAGAGAGAGAGAGAGAGAGAGAGAGAGAGAGAGAGAGAGAGAGAGAGAGAGAGAGAGAGAGAGAGAGAGAGAGAGAGAGGGGGGGGGAGAGTGAGAAAGAGAGGGGGAGAGAGAGAGAGGAAGAACACGAGGGATGGAGAGAGGGAGAGAGAGAGAGAGAGAGAGAGAGAGAGAGAGAGAGAAGAGAGAGAGAGAGAGAGAGAGAAGAGAGAGAGAGAGAAGAGAGAGAAGAGAGAGAGAGAGAAGAGAGAGAGAGAGAGAGAGAGAGAGAGAGAGAGAGAGAGAGAGAGAGAGAGAGAGAGAGAGAGAGAGAGAGAGAGAGAGAGAGAGAGAGAGCCATTCCGTGACGTATGTTCCATCTCCATACTCCCCCAACGCACAGACAGGCCTATTCCCAAGGTAGTAGTAAAAACTGCAAAACACGAATAATTTCAGCAGAAGAGAGAGGATTCCACACCAAAGTCGGAAAACTAACTCACCGGTTCGTAAATAAACAAAAGGCTGATATTGTGTTCGCAGCTGAAACCTTACTTGACGAGAGGGTTCCGCCCAACTATGCTCGTATTTCAGGATATTCAAATTGGATGCGCAGAGACAGAAATACGCAGGGAGGAGGAATTGCACTATGCTACAAAATCAACTTGCAGAGCCAGATGACAGATTTTCCCTTACCAGATGGCACTGAATTAATACTCTTTAGATTGGTGGACAAGAAACGACACGGTGTTCTTCCTTGTGGACGCGACCGGCCGCCATCACAAGAGACACTACTAATAAATTTCTTTATGTAAAACCTTGATCAGCTTATGACGACTTATAACTGCCATTATTTTGTATTATTTGGTGAGCTAAACCAGTACAAAGTACAATCTACTTTCTACGTTCTAATGGCAGTCCATGACATACAGAGCTTTGTTGATTTTCCAACACATCGCTCTGGGTCGGCTTTTGACCCAGTTGTCACCGACCTACCTTCCCATTCGGTAAAGTCTGTCCCGCTTGGTTATGTCGGAACATCTGATCACGAAGCTGTCTTAACAAAGATTAGCTTAAGAACGCCAAGGAAGGAGGCTACGACAAGGACGATGGGGAAGTGGGAGAATGCAAACTGGACAGGATTCAGAGAGGGTCTGTCTCATATAAAATGGGACGGTGAAATCCAGGGCAATGTAGATCAGAAGGTTAATTCCTTCAACTATTTTAATGACTCGAAAAAAATCGTTTTGTGCCATACCTTACCCTTGGTAAGGTATGGCACCTAAGTTTGTTAAGTAAATAAGCATTTGGAAAGGACGGTGAACTCCTAGCCCTTTTGAAAAATTATCTACTCGACAGACAAATGAGTTCTCAATGGAAAACACTCTGCTTACTACGACATCAAAGCAGGTGTCCCTCAAGGAAGCATATTGGGCTCTCTGCTGTGGAATGTCTTCAGTGACTTGCTCCAGCTCATTCCTGAAGCCAGGGCATTTGCGGATGATGGAACATTCTCCTTTAGGTATGAGCCCAGGGAACAGGATGCCGCCATAGAAAAACTGAATGACAGACTCTCACAAATCTCGACTTGGGGGAAGAAATGTCAGGTCTCCGTTACCCCGAATAAAACCCAGCTTATGGTTGTCGAGAGGACGAACAGTGATGTCCAGGTAAACTTCAATGAGAAAAAATGAGACCACGAGAGGAAATTGAAATTCTGGGCATCATTCAACAAAAGAATATGTATATATATTTTCAAAAGTCACATAGAAAGTTTGGTGAGAAGGGCTTCGCAGAAATTTGCATCCCTAAGAAGAAGCAGAAGAATGCTAGACAGTGAAGGGAAGGAGCTCCTCTACAAGGCACAAATTCGCTCTTCACTCGAGTACTCCTTCCTCGCGTGGGGAGAAGCAAACATCATTAGCCTCAAAATCTTGGATAGAATACGAGAAAGAGCGAAGAAAATCATGGAAGACAAGACCCAAGAGTATCAACTGAACCTCGACAGGAGAGACGTAGCTAGCATGACGACGATGTTCCGCATACATCGCCAACACGTCCCGCACCTGCAGCCAATGACAATGCCAGGAAAACGAGCTGCCGCCCACGAGAACAGCGGAACGAGCGCCCGAGCACGTTATGTTGCACGGCGCGCGACCAGCGACAGTTTCTCTCCAAATATTCCAAATTATGGAATCTATTCACTTCTATCATCGATGTGGAAGCTCAGTCCTTACAATCTTTCCAATGCAAAGCACATGTATGGCTAAAGACCACTAATAGATAATTATGTGATTTGTCTATTATGTGTTATAGTACATGAGCAGATGGCGCAATGAGATGAGGTTAGACTTTAAGATAGGAGTCAGTAAAAATGAATTCCTTTTGTCTAAAAACAATTTTTTTATTTTTTTTTATTGTAAGAGGTCTAATAATTTTAATCAAATATGATGTAATTGTCTTAAAATAAAGTATAAAAAGAGAGAATAAAGAATGAGAGAGAGAGAGAAGAAAGAGAGAGAGAGAGAGAGAGAGAGAGAGAGAAGAAAGAGAGAGAGAGAGAAGAAAGAGAGAGAGAGATAGAGAGAAGAAAGAGAGAGAGAGAAGAGAGAGAGAGAGAGAGAGAGAGAGAGAGAGAAGAAAGAGAGAGAGAGATAGAGAGAAGAAAGAGAGAGAGAGAAGAACGAAAGAGAGAGAGAGAAGAAAGAGAGAGAGAGAGAGAGAAGAAAGAGAGAGAGAGAGAGAAGAACGAGAGCGAGAGAGAAAGAGAGAGAAGAAAGAGAGAGAGAGAGAGAGAGAGAGAGAAGAAAGAGAAAGAGAGAGAGAGAAGAACGAGAGAGAGAGAGCGATTGCGAGGCACTCCGCCGGCCTGCGACAGCTTCGAGTCAGCCATCCATCACTCATGCAGTTACGTCATCCGGGTCCGACAGGAGGCGAATGGATGAGGCTCTTGCGCGGTGTCGCCGATATCCTAGTTTCCGCCTTTTAAAGCTATTGTATCCTAGCGAGGTTTTCCATCATCTTTACTTGTACTGTTTTATATTTTTTTCCACTTATTATTTCTTTTCTTCCCCATATTCCTGTTATTCTTATTCTTTTAGTTTTTCTTCTTCTTGTTCTTCTTCTACTTCTTCCTCTTGTTGTTGTTCTTCTACTACTAGTTTTCTCTTTTTCTTCTTCCTCTTCCACTTCCTTTTCCTCTTCTACTAACTTTTCTTCTTCTTCTTCTTCATCTACTGCTAATACTACTACGACTACTTTTCTTCTTCTGCCTCTTTCTCTTTCTCTTCTTCTTCCTCGTCTTCTTTTTCTTTTTCTTCTCTTTTTTTTCTTCGTCTTTTTCCCTCTTCTTCTCCTTCTTTTTCTTCTCCTTCTTCCTCCTCCTCCTCCTCCTCCTCCTCCTCCTCCTCCTCTTCCTCATCATCATCATCATTTTCTTCTTCTTCTCCTTCTCCTTCTTCTTCATCTTCATCTTGTCATTATTATTATTATTATTATCATTATTATTATTATTATTATTATTATTATTATCCTCCTCCTCCTCCTCCTCCTCCTCCTCCTCCTCCTCCTCCTCCTTCCTCTCCTCTCTCCTCTCTCCTCTCTCCTCTCTCATCTCTCCTCTCTCTCCCTCCTCCTTCCCCTTCCTCCTCCTCCTCCTCCTCCTCCTCCTCCTCCCCCACCTCCTCCCCCACCTCCTCCCCCTCCTCCTCCCCCACCTCCTCCCCCTCCTCCTCCACCACCTCCTCCTCCTCCTCCTCCTCCTCCTCCTCCTCCTCTTCTTCTTCCTCCTCCTCCTCCTCCTCCTCCTCCTCCTCCTCCTCCTCTTCTTCCTCCTCCTCCTCCTCTTCCTCCTCCTCCTCCTCCTCCTCTTCTTTTTCTTCCTCCTCCTCTTCTTTTTCCTCCTCCTCTTCCTCCTCCTCCTCTTCCTCCTCCTCCTCCTCACCCCCCCTGCCTATC